AATAATAATAATAATAATAAATGTTCACAACAAGCTTCAGTAAATATCTATGTAATTGTCAAGATATTTTAGAAAAAGTCTTTGTCATTTATATCAAACAGGCTCGGGTGGCCTACGGCCTGGCTCTTGGCTTGGAGCAATCGAGTCGAGCCCCATTTTTGGGACACGTGCCGAGCCTGAGCCTTTAATTTTAAAAAAAATCAGAAAGAGTCATAAAAAGCAGGAAAAATAGAGTCTGTCCGGCTCGACTAGGAAAAGCTTGAGGCGAAAATGTTTGGCCGGGCAAAAGTTCGACTTGGCTCGGACTCGTAAAAAAGCTCGATTATTTTAATCGAGTAGAGCCGAAAGTTTTAAGTTCGACCTCAATTCGACTCGACTCGATTCGAGTCGAGTCATTGACCTTCCAAATCTTGTGTAGTTGTGTATAGTATGATTCCAATATTCCTTTCAAATTTTTTATATAAGGATTTGACATATATAAATAAATAATTGATTGGAGCGGGATAGACTCAACGGCCAGAACCTTTTTGTCCTAATCCCTAAGTACATATGGATGACATGACCTTTATACAGACCAAAACAAGGCCACGGCGGTACATTATTCAACTGATACACTATATGTTTGGTTGAGCTTAAAATTTATAATGATAAATCTACTTAAAAGTAGTTATTCCATAAAATCCATAATAAAGAACTTTCAAGTCGGTTTGAACTTTGGTGAATGGTTCACTAATTAATTGTTGAATACAATTATGATGCAAAAAATATGAGCTAGCGTGGTTCACTGATTACTTGTCTAATGAAGCTGTTCAATAAAGATTCGACACATTTTGATTAATTAGACAATTAATAAGCATATCACATTATCACCTAGGTGCTTAGCATCCGTGACTATTGACCGTTTACCTTTTTTAAGTTAATACTCGATCCGATTTTTAAATTAAAGTATCTAAATATATGTTTTTATTTGGTACATATTCTTTAAAACTCATTTCAAAATTTATTTTTCACCGCACATTCTTTCAGTAACATAATATTTTATATGAATTCCTATATATATATATATATATATTAACTTATCTACATCAAACAAACACCACCACCTTTACAAGATAAAATCCAAGGGAAAGGGCCTTCGGGGCGTAGCCTAGTAGTGCAAAGGACAGGAGTGATGTTATTTCACGTCTTGCTGGCAACTGCAGTGTGGAGGTTCGATTTCTAAAACATGGAATTGGACTCCTTGTAGGCGCAGTGTACAGGCAGCTCTTGTTCCCTGTCCTGTTGGAGCACATCCCGCGATTTATCTCCCTCACAAAGCTCTAGGGGCCAGGCGGTGAGAACCCTCAAAGTTGGGGTTCAGCCTTTTTTTTTTTTTAAATCCAAGGGAAAGGTCATTTGTGCACCAAAAGTGTACATCATCTTTGACATCACCCAAAGTCGGTAAGATTTGATTGGTGAAAAAATTGTGCACTTTTTAAAACTGTTCAATAGTATGGTGCCATGTGACACAATGTAAAAAATGATGTAAATATAGAATAATTGTTTTCACGACCCTTTCCCCATATAAATATACTTTCCTTTATCTTTCTAGCACTGATTTCAAGCTTTGCGCCTTAAATATATTTTAACTTATTTACATCAAACAAACCCTATATTTGAAAAGGACTTGAGCAAACACACTCTGGAGTCAAACAAAACCCACCACCTTCACAAATAAAATCCCACCTCAACAAATAAAAATCCCATATGTTGAATAGTACGTTTCACCAACCCTTTCCCCATATAAATATACTTTTCCTTTCTTTCTAGCACTGTCATTTCAAGCTCTGCGCCTTATTTCTTTCCAAAATGGTGCCATCAAAGCCAGAAACAAATGGTTCACCAGTTTCTGAAATACAAAACTCCATAGAAAGTTCAAGTACCCAAAAATTAGCAGAAAAGCCTGCACCCAATGGTAATGCAACAGCACAAGGCGTTCCTGGACCAGTTGCAGCAGATGATTCAATACGGAGTTCACAGAATTCCCCACAAACGCAGGTAATTAATTTGTAGATTCATAACGTGTAAGTTTTACTGTTTTATTTATCCTGTTGGAGAGTGGGGTGGGGTGGGGTGGGGTGGGGTATGTACAAAGCTTTAGTTATCCTGGTAGGGTAAAGGGTAGGGTGGGGGTGTATAGTACCATTTCTGGATTTGTGCGTGATATTCTTGCCTAGGGGTCAAGCTAATTTTATTCGTATCGTTCCAATTTTCATATATACCCGAAGGGATGGATGAATTATATATGGTTTATACAATTTTACTTAATTAATCTAGAGTCTATTTTTTTAGACGATTAGATCAATCTAAATGACAACGAAATTCATTGCATAATTGCCCCAAAAATCTAGTGTATTTACTTTGCTATCCAATTATGCCTCGAGGGTCCTAGTGTAAGTCCGCGATAAGATGTCAAGACAACAAATGCCTTTAACTTGTGTTAGTCGGACCTCTAGTATCTAACGATCCAAAATTTAAAATAAAATTAAATGTTTAATTATGTAATTATTTAAATTATGGTTTATATAAATATTATACGGTCTTTAAACTGGCTCGACTATGTTTTAGGTTATCTTATGCAGAATTAGATATCGTTGTGGACTCGACTCGAATTTATTTTACATGCTTTTGCTATTTCATTATGTTGATTTCCTACTTCATGATTATTTCCAGCACATTGTTGGTTAAAGGTGAAATATTTAGTTTCCTTTTTGAAAGAGAACCAATTGTTTAAACAACGGCCGTGGCATAAAATATAATTAGAAAATTCTTGAGTAAAAGCATTGTTTTGATTAAAGCAGACAGCACTTAAGAGTGTGGACATTATTGATATACAAAAGTATAGAAGGTTTTCAGTGTACAAATTTGACTTGTGAATTGTTGATTGTAAATGAATAATAAACTTTAACGAGCTGGACAGACTTGTACAAATATATAGTTTTGAATAGTACTTTAGGAGAATGTGTTATTAAAAAATAAAAAATAAAATTTAGACTTACATGCAAAATATTTTATTTTATAAATGTGTGGTTTTTGTATGGAATCTGGGCTCTCACTTGACCCGAGCCTTAAATATGGATGATAAAACATTTTAGTTTGTAGAGATTTTTTTTCCTCCCTTAAGATATGTGATTGAAAATCGTCTTAGAGAAATTTGATTTTTAAAAAATATCTTCCAAACAATGCCCTTTTCATGTGTCTTGAAGTTGGAGGACGAAATTGTCATATTACTTAACATTTGTTCTCCAATTCAACTAAAAGCCGTGCAATTTTTAACAATAATATGATTGATTTGGGATGCAGATTCATAGATTTAAATGTAGAGGAGACCAAAATCATTTTTTCGGTCGATGAGCCCCACGTAGAAAGTTAAGAAGTCTAAGCTTAGTTTACCTCACACGTCTAGGGATTATGTATTGGCACTAGAATCATGTTAACTATTTACTTACAAGTTGATCAATAGATGACGATGAGAGATTATAACTCGATTTTAAAATCAATATTCTTAGAATTAAAGAGTCGAACTAAAAGATGTATGTCAAATTGGATAGAAATGTACAAATATATATTAATTAATTACATATATTGATGTTTGGGCCAAGAATCATTACTAAAGTTGATATCTTTTCACGCTTATATGACTTTCACTAATTCTCTAGTAATAATGTGTTTAAAAAGTTTGGGCGTGCAAACTATTTTCGGTAGTAATTAATTTGATGGGGTCCGTAAAAGTGAGCATGTGACCACTCATTTTACAAGTTCTGGCTGACAAGCCTGACTTAATACCACAAAGAATTATTCATTTCACGTGCTTTTTAATATAAAATTCTACGTCTTCAATAAAAAATAATATTATGGTCCTTAGTTCTGTTGGTGTTGGTGGGTGGAGTTGACGGTGGATTAGGAATGGATTGGGCGGTGGATGGATATGAGATATTCTACAATAAAAAAATTTATTTGATAGAAAATGCACCATACAGGTGCTGCGTTGTATGGATTCTGTGAATTATAGGGAATAATTCGGATGGATATAGGTTGGGTATCATTAATTTTGAGTTACTTAGGATGGTGAGAATCGAGAAAAGAATGGCATAAAGGGTTTTTGAGATATTGAATATAGCAAATATCTATTGATTGGAATTTTTGTCTCGAAATTTTATCTTGATATCGTATTTTTATATGTTAAAATCACTGTGTTTATATTGGAATCTCTCCAACTGGGCTAATCTTATGGCCCATTCAGGCCGAGAAGGCATATAGGCTATAAATTACGCTTATGGGCCTTTGGGCTGTGTAGGTTAAATACTTTGATAGTCATCATACTTTCAAAAATTATCATTTTAGTTATTGAATTTTGTTTAGAAGACATGGTATCTTGTTACATATTCATTAAGAATTAGATTTTTATTTTATTTTATTTGAAGCCTTATGTAAATATGATCTGCGTGAGATGTCATTAATCAAAACATGTCACTTCTACAATTTTAGTTTGATAATCACCATTTTAATGAGAAAAGCTTTAATCAGATGGTTATATAAATTTAGGACACATAGACGTCCGAGATGGTAAGAGAGAAGCAAAATGGGTGCACGTCGTCAATGTTTCACATTTTAAGTGTCTTGAGATTTGAGATGTCGTGATTTGAATATACAATCCTATCACATTTGCTTATGAGATTGTCCTATCGAAACTTCTCTTATCTAAACATGTTGATTATCATCAAAATTTTCAGACTCTAACTTATGTGAACATTCACAAGTCGATTGTTTATTTACAAAACAAGTTGTAGTATTCCCAAAATATGTCCTAATGTTGAATTAACTAGTACCGTGTTTGGCAAAACTTAAATTATAAGTTAAACTAATCAAACATATTTTTTATCTATATATTTCATATGATATTTAATTTACTACTCACTCTCTTATTATCACGTATTTCATAAGATTCACAGATATTAAACAAGTTGATAGTGACTTAACTAAAACTAATATATAACTTCAAACTACTATCAAAGTTACAAAAACTCAGTGACCAAAATGACATGTTTTTAAACGTTTGGTGACCGTATTTCTACCTCTCCTTTGTACCTTAGTGATTTTCTTGCGTGGAAGCACTCACGAAAGAAATTTGCCACTGTTCCCCCATGAATCCTCGAGCCATGAAAGGCTGAAACAAACAAAAATGGATCTTATCCCTTACGCAACATTGATGCATGTATTCATACCTGCAAATGCTTGGGGCTTACTTCTAATTTCAGTTCTACAATGACTCAAATGATTTCTTCTACTTTCAGTTTATGGTCTCTCTCTCTATGAATTCTGCTTAAAATTTTCTGCCGTGGTTTTACTTTTAGATCTCGATAACGGGTCCGGCTGATATGTTAGGCAAAGATTTTTAGCATATTTTGACTATTTTGTGTTTGACTAGAATGTTCAGTTAATGAACTAAAATTCCTTCAATTCATGTTTTGCAATTTCTGGTGTCTTTTTTTTGTTTTTTTTTTTTTTTCAATTTTTACGATTTTTTCGACGAGCCCATTTCATAGTATGAAAAATGTATTGTTAGTTTATATATAGATCTGTCTGTTAAATTCTAGCTCCCTTCCCATAGACTGATATATGATGCATGAAATTTAAATGGAATTCATTTCTTATTACTGTGAAGATTGATTTTTTTTCTTCAATTGATTTGATTTATAAGTATTTAAGTTAGATTTATAGTAGTTTTTTAAAGAGTAATTTTATAAATAATAGTTTTTTTATTTTTAATAAAGATTGTGTTTTATTCTGCAGAAGATTAATGTTGTTCTTACTGATTTAATTTATGTCTTTTAAGATGTATTTGCTGTTAATAGTGTAGAAATATGATAAAAAATATAGCTTTTTTCCTTTGCATAATTCGATATTGAAAAATTACGTTACAACTATGAGGTTTGAGTAAATTTCACAATCTTCTTATTTACAGCAGGTTATAATTCTTTACAGTAACATTGCAACTGTCTAATAGATACACCTAAATTTCCATTAGTGAGAAGAATACAATTTTGCTATATTGATATTTTGACAATGAATGCAGAAATTTAGGGAAACAGGGAGTACTCAAACTTCTATTGCGATGGGGGAGTATAATGGTGCTGAGTATATAGGTATTAATGAAGTTCCTTCTCCCAGGGTAAATCGCGGTAAAAAAATCTCACTTTTACCTCTGGTTTTCCTCATATTTTATGAGGTATCGGGAGGACCATTTGGTGTTGAAGATACCGTGAACGCTGCTGGACCTCTACTAGCTCTTGTTGGGTTTTTAGTATTCCCATTCATATGGAGTATACCAGAAGCTTTAATAACTGCAGAGATGGGCACTATGTTTCCCGAAAATGGTGGGTATGTAGTGTGGGTTTCGTCAGCTTTAGGACCCTATTGGGGTTTTCAGCAAGGTTGGGTGAAATGGCTAAGTGGGGTTATCGACAATGCCCTTTACCCTGTCATGTTATTAGATTATCTGAAATCGGGGATACCTGCGTTAGGTGGCGGTCTTCCAAAGATACTAACGGTGTTGGCCTTGACGATAGCCCTAACTTACATGAACTATAGGGGTTTGACCATAGTGGGATGGATAGCTATTCTGCTTGGGATTTTCTCGATACTTCCTTTTGTGGTTATGGGATTCATTTCGATTCCAAAACTACAGCCTAAAAGATGGTTAGTGGCGGATGTTCACAATGTGAACTGGAATTTATATCTGAATACTCTATTTTGGAATCTGAATTATTGGGACTCTATAAGTACACTTGCAGGAGAAGTAGAAAATCCAAACAAAACTCTGCCAAAAGCTCTGTTTTATGCATTGATTCTAGTTGTTCTTGGGTATTTCTTCCCTTTACTGACTGGTACTGGTGCTATTCCACTGCAACAGAATTTATGGACTGAAGGTTATTTCTCGGACGTCGCAAAAATTGTGGGCGGAGTATGGTTGAGATGGTGGATTCAGGGAGCTGCGGCAATGTCGAATATCGGTATGTTTGTGGCAGAGATGAGCAGCGATTCTTTTCAGCTACTCGGGATGGCTGAACGAGGGATGCTTCCCGAGTTCTTTGCCAAAAGGTCTCGTTATGGTACTCCTCTTGTTGGGATACTCTTCTCAGCTTCTGGTGTGGTTTTGCTTTCATGGCTGAGCTTTCAAGAGATAGTAGCTGCAGAGAATTTCTTGTATTGCTTTGGAATGATATTGGAATTTATAGCGTTTGTGCGGCTAAGAATTATAGCCCCTACCTCCCCTCGGCCTTACAAGATACCAGTTGGAACAATTGGGGCCATTCTAATGTGCATTCCTCCAACCATGTTAATTTGTGTAGTCTTGTTCTTCTCATCGCTCAAAGTCTTGATTGTAAGTCTAGTTGCTGTTGCAATTGGACTTGTAATGCAACCATGTCTCAAGCATATTGAGAAGAAGAAATGGCTTAGATTCTCCACAAGTTCTGATCTTCCCGATATGCATGCTGCTACTCGTGAGAACGATTCCTTAATTGACTGATAAAATTTCATATGCGAGCAAGTTGATCTTCTGTGGTGCAAAGAAAATCGCGTTGGTGGTGAAAGTTGATCGCGGATGCAAAGTTTCTTTTCAATTTTTAGCTGTTGTGCCCCCCTCCTCCTCCTCCTCCTTGTATGCTTTTTCATTTATGAGAAATAGATATTTGAATGGTATTTGGAGCAATCGATTGAAGATGTTTGAACTTCGCTTTTTAGCTAACAATGTAGACTTGGATCAGATCAGGATGGAACATTTGTTCCACAAATTGTCATGGATGGCCTTTTCAAGCTTCCATGTTGCACGTAGTAATGCATCAATAAGTCAACCTCTATAATTGGCAGCCCTTCTTTGAAAAAAAAAATATATGTTTTGCAGAATTGTATCAAACAGGGACGAAAATTCACAAGAATGGTGGTAAAATCTGATAAGGACATATCTGGTAGCCCATGTTGTTAGATTGTCTTTAACAAGGAAATCCCTCAGTCAATAAAGATGAAAGTATCAATTATATATTTGTACAATTCTTAATAATAATTCAATCCATCTAAGGTCGAAACGAGTTAAGTCCTCTTAACAAAGTTGACCTTTAAGATGAGATACTAATCTTAAAATCTATTTTTTATTTGATCTTTATAAATTAGCTTTTAACAAATAATGTTCTTTGTTAAGTGAGCATTGGCGGATTCAGGGGGATAAAAATATTTTCTACTGGGCAGATATATAAAATTTTATTTTATTTTACTTATTTATTTATTTTACCCTGAAAAAAATTTGGCACGGGGGCATCGTTTGGGCTCTCCATTTGCCCCTGGAGTGAAGCCTTCGCAGTCTACTTTAATTGGGTTCGAGCCTCCTATGAGGAAAAGGTTAAATCCTCTTATCCATTCTTACAGACTTGCTTATAGAAGGTGATGTCAAGATGGGCAAAGTCAAAGAACATGAGCAGGGTCCTTTGTAGGTCATTTTCATGAGTTTGAAGAGGTAGAATTAGGGATATACAGAAACTACTTGGATTGAAGTTTCCATTCAGGGATATGATTATTCAGCAACTTTAAATTGTCAGGTAATGGAAAGATTTAATACGTTTGCTAAACTATCCTGCTGGTAAAGAATATCACTCAAAATGAAAAATATCAGATTCATACCTGGAACATCAAAAAGTGCAAATAGACTAATAGGAGCAACCACCTCCTTTTTTCCCCCCATCAACTAGTCACTGCAACAAATTCGCTTCCGGTATGATCAAGCAACAAGTAGCAAATAATTCAGTGAAGTTTTAACTGTTAGCTTCATCTCCATCCGCAGCACCACATGTATGATATCTCAAAATTGAAAAACTATGCATGACGTTACTTTCGGAGAAGGCAACCATTATGTGGTTTCCTGGTCATGTCGTCGATGTATTCTGAGCATTTCTTTCCGAGACGGCAACTGTTATGTATACAGTATACTAGCCATTTTGGAGCAGTTCTTGCAAATTGGATTCATAATCCAGAAGCAGTGCGTGAAGATATGATAATGTTCATAGCTAGAGTAGAGCCGTCGTTATCCATATATAAGAAAGTGTGCATTCGACGGAATTTATGCACACGTCTTCAACCGAGTTACAAACCTATCGGTTGAGGTACACTTCGTAACAATCTCAATACTATTTATTGATAAAATTTGAATCTTGCATATACAATCATTGCATTTAAGGCCATTAAATTTCCACCCAATACACAGTGTTTTCAATGTTTTAGTGAGCGTGCTTAGAGAATTTTGTTGCGAAGATACTTTTGGTAATGCTAATGTAATGTAATGTAACATTAATGTCATTAAAAAAAAAAATTGATTAACCAACTCCTTCCGAATTTTGATGTGAAGTTTTTCAATTGCATTGTGTTTGTCATATATTTGAGGGGAATTATAAAAAATGTCACTTTTTTTGATAATGCACAAAAAATTTGCATATACACCTAATTTTATAAAAAAATGTCACTTTTTTTGTGAGAAATATTCAACTTACCTTTTATGTCCCATTTTTAGGGGCATTTAATGCTAGCAATTGAAGATATTTGATTTTAAATTTTAAAAATCTGATTTTCAAAAGAATATAAATTTTGGGTCCAAAAAATAGAAAAAAACGCATTACATGCGGTTTAGGCGACGACAACTGTTGCCGTCGCCGACAAGGAGCGCAGTAGTGAGCGCCGTGTCTGCCACAGAGACAGTGGTGCTCGCAGCCGCTGTTGAGCGCCACTGCTGAACTGCAGTAGCAGCCTTTGCCATAGGCGCCGACAATAAAAAGAAAAAAAAAATTGTTGTCGATCTGATTTCTGTGATTGGGCCACTGTTGAATTGCATTAGCAGCCGAGCTGGACAGCGGAGGCCTCTTCCACAGGCGCCGGCAAGTAAAAGAAAAGAAAAAAAATAAAAAATTGGTCTCCAGCAGATTTGGATAATTGGAGACGAAGGTCTGTTATACAAATTCATAATTTGCAAGCCCCTGCTTGAAAATTAACATATAAGGTATTCAAATAATTTAGAGGGTCAAAAATGTCTTAAATTGACATTCTTGATAGAAAATTTAAAATGTGACATTTTTGATAAGGTACAGTCAAATTTTGACACTCAATGAAATTTCCTCTATATATATATTTAATTTGATTATGCAATGTGACTTTAAAGTATACTGCATCATAGTTGACAAAAATTAGACAAGCCATTGTTTTTATTTTTCTCTCTATCTTGCAAACGTGCATTTGCGATTGTATTTGCAGATTCTAACCTACTCGAATGCGAAAATTTTACATATGCATCATTCTATTAAAATATTTTATAATCTACTATACAACAATTATAAAATCTAAAAGTACTGGATGGTATATATTTCATGCCTGTAAGTACTTCCTACAAAAAATAACCCATTTAGCCATTTGTAACTAATCCGTTTGAATGTCATCCTAATTTAACGTGTATTATTATCACATTTTCTGACAAGTTTTCAATTCCATCCTAATTTCACGTGTCACGGAAAGCATACATTTTCCTCTACATCCCGGATCCTGGCGGAAGCAAATTCCAGATTAAAAAATCAGAAATTTGAAGGTAAATGTCGCCATCTAAAATATGAGTTTCGGACAGATATATCATGTACTGGATTTTCTTTATATTTGTGTTTTGATAATCCTACCCATTCGTAATTCGACGCCCGATGTCTCATCGCTTGTGGAGCAATATGTGTGTGTTTTTTGCTCTTGTGAATTTTGAATGTAGGTTTCATACCGGTGATGTCGTGAATATCCATCTGTTACCGTGTTTAAATTTCAGTGTGGAAATGTGATATGATGAATATGTGAACAATGAAAAGGGGATAAAGTTTCCACAATTAAACATATACACTGACTTGAAAATGCTTCCATGAGAAAATAATATGTTAATATATTCATCACATATACTAATCTCTAGATAATTCAAACTTATGTCAACATTTGTTTCATATGTCTGTATGCAAAACAGAAGTCCATTTGGAATAAATGTTTGGTAATGATCCTCTCACAATATGATTTTGAGGCTGCGTCTGAAACCATTTTTCATCAAAACTGTGTACAGGTTCCTATCTACAGAACTTAGACTTATCCAGAGTCATTTATTTTTCCTTTGCACAAGAATGGATGCGGTTAATGTATTTGTAGTGAATGGCGCAAATACTTTTGGTCTCCTAGTTCCTTTTGGTTCCAAGTACTTTGGTCTTGTCGACATGATAGCGAATGAGCTCAAGGTCGATATGCGACGTTCATGTATCAAGATTGAGTATTTTGCAGATGTGGATATGTCGCCACTCCGAATAATGAATGACACTTCCTGCAATTCTACTTGGAGTTGAAGCATAGCGATCCACGTGTCACAGCATATGCATTACGCATCAACTTGATTGATATCTTGCAATCCACAGACTCTACAGCAAGATTGAGTAATGCAGAACAAATTCAGGTTCGGACAGATAACATCAGTGGTTCACAACTTCTGGCTACTAATTTGTCAAAAGTAAATTCAGTATCAGGCATTGAAGTATCGACGCTGGAGATGGAAGATGACATAATAGAAGAAATGACTGTAACTTTAAGAGCCAAAACCATTTATGGAAATAATAGTTTTCAAACCAACATTTCTGTATTCGGACCAAAATTTCACCTTACATTTGGATATATAAAAATATAAAAATTACTAGTCGACAAACCATCCACTAAGAGAATTAAATGTCTCATTACAGGAATATGGAACAAGCCTATAATAATTTAGACTCATCACATACAACGGGATCACAGTAGAAAAGATGGTTTTCCCTTAGATGTTTACCAGCTCAAATTCTCAACAAATTTAATATACTTCATTTACCTTCAGCTTTTATAAGGCCATAATATACCACAATTCAAATAATTCAACAATCATCTTCAACTCATCATTCTGAACTCATCATATAACAAATTTTCAAATTGCAATATGCATTACAAAGAACCAGCCCAATTTTGTGCCCCCCCCCCCCCCCCCCCCCCCCCCCCCACACATAAGGCCATAATATACCACAATTCAAATAATTCAACAATCATCTTCAACTCATCATTCTGAACTCATCATATAACAAATTTTCAAATTGCAATATGCATTACAAAGAACCAGCCCAATTTTGTGCCCCCCCCCCCCCACCCCCCGGCCCAAAAAAAATTCTTGACTCCATCACACCATTGGGACTGGTTTTTGTGGCATCCCATTTGTGTGTAACTAATTTCCAGCCAATATGCATCACATCATATGCAATCAAAGTTATATCGAAAGCCGATTAATATAAGGTGTTAATACACCACCAAACAGAAGGCCAGAAAAACCACGATGGTCAAATGCAGTTTGCAGAAAAAGTTTGAGGTTGTTTAAAACTTGATAATTCCGGCTGGCAAGACACATTCACTCAGAATTGAAAGGAAATATAGATGCATCCACTACATGTGCAAAAGGGGGCGTATTTGTTAAACTGTCCACACAAATATGACTGTAGAATCACTATAATTGAATCACTATAATCCACTACATGTGCAAAAGTGGGCGTATTTGTGTGAATCGCCTGCTAGCTGTGTTTTGATGGACCCCATGGACAAATGTCGATTTTGGGCCACTGCACCAGGAGTCCTTCCGACATTTTGCTGCACCCATACGGAGCCGAAAGATGAAATGCTTTTATCAGCATTCATGGTAGAAATTTTTCAGAAAAAAGTGGATTGTGGTCGGGTGGTGGTGTTGGTGATATGCCTCCGACAAGGGATTTTATACTAGCGGTAAGGACTTAATTAATGGAAAATGGGAATGGCATGGAATAGGCTTCTGCGGGAGATCTGTGAATGATCAATTCATTGTGTAGGTTTTGCGTTCTTTTTCTTAGTGGGCTGGAAGAGAGATTCATGGCGGATGAATCTGATTGCCAAAGGAAATAACACCATTTTAAGGATTGGCCAGTTATTTTAGTCAGACTAAGGCGTGTTTGGCGGCCCCAAATTTAAGGGCGCGTTTGGTGGAGTATTAGAAACGTAAATGATAGCCTGTTTGATTTTTGTCAACTTTTCATATTTCTATTTTTACTTTACAAAAAATAGTATTTATGGTTAAAAGAAAAGTTGAATTGAATAGTCTAAATATTTATTAAAAGGTAGGTGTGTAGTAGAATTTCCACTACTCGAATGGATGTTTGCAACGTATATATGCAATAGCTGAAATTTATTTCCCATGCCACAATCTTGTGTTAATCATGATATGATTATTACTAATTTTTACAATGGTATGCATCATATGATTCTGATTATAATTTCAAATTTGATGATTGGTTAATTACTTTTGAGATCACAAAAATACTCTACGAAGTGGTGCCAAAACAAGACGTCATAAGACACTAAATGCAGTTGAAAAAATCACCCAACGGCTAGTTGGAATGCTCTATGCGGTCGTATAGAACAAACCTGTGCAACCACATAGTTTTTCCAAAAGCTATGTGACCGCACCATTCTAAGGCCTATGCGGTCACATAGGTCAAGGTTTTGGCCTCAATTTCCATTTTCAATCTGCACGCATTTTATTGATTTTGAGTAACAATTTTCAACATTATTCTCGAAACCTCATTGAAATTGTGCCCAAACAAGGGCTTATCATAGTGCTCAGCTCATTCTCTTTGAAGCACAATTTTTTCATGCCAAAAAGAAGTAGATATTGATTATTACATATTTGATATTGGTTGGTGATTTTAACCATGCCTAATTGGATTCCCCCCCCCCCCCCCCCCCCCCCCCCCCCTCTTTTTTTTTTTACTATTTT